ACATCAAGTAGAATGATTAATAGAAGCATTGATAGCAGGCATTGTTGCTTGATGCTAAAAGGAAATCTAGAATTTTACCATGAACATATTTTTTTGTGCTTTTTTGGAAGGTGTCCTAATAAAAGACACCTTCAAATAATGAGAGAGGAAATGGCATTCTATTTCAAATTTTAGAAGAGATTATAGTTATTCAATTTTTTTGTGTAACTGTTAATGAGGGTTGATTTTTTGGCAAATGCCTTTCTGATGCATCTATTAAGGCCATTTCAAGGCTTTTCATCTTGAACATTTATAATCTATAGAACTATGTTAGTAGACTTTCTATTGCTTAGCATCCTGGGTTAAATTCAGCTTGGACATGATTTTTAAAAATGCGTTGCTGATTTGGTTTGCTAATAGCATTTAGGATTATATCAAGAGAAATTAGTTTCTTGCTCATTTTTAATATTTAGCTTATCAGATTTTGATAGCAATATTTTAGACACTAAGCTCATAATTTGAGTTGAGGAATGTTTCCCCTGTTCCCCTACTCTCTGGAAAAGTATATAGAAAAGTATATAGAAAAGTAAAAGTATATAGTACTCTCTGCAAAATATCTGTTTCTTAAATTTTGATAGAATTTACTTCTGAATGTACGTAGGCCAAATGCATGTTTCATGTGTGTGTGCTTTTGTGTAGGTAGTGATTTCATATCTTTAATGCAGTCATTACATACATGTTTTTTACTTTTTGAATCATTTTTAGACCATTTCTCTACATTTTCAAATTTGCTAGCATAATGTGTTTTTTACAATAGTTTCTTTAAAAAAATTAGCCATATCATTACTGTATTAATATTTCTAATATGTTTTACTTGTGCCTTCTTTTTCAATTGATCTTAATTTTGTTCTTTTATGGCTTTGTTTTTCATTTAATTTGTTTATACTCTTCTTTATTATTTCCTTTTTCAGTTTTCTTAGTGTATAAGTTCTAGTTCCTTTTTCTAATATCATAAACTCATTTACTCATTGTTTTTTTTCCCCAATACAAGGATTTAAAGTTATCAGTGTCTTTCTAAATACCATTCTAACAGTATTCTTCAGATTCTGACATAGAGTATTCTTATTATCATTTAGTTCTGAATATGTTGTAACTTTCATTTTTGAGACATGCAGTATTTCTAAAGTTTTGTTTTATATTTAATAATTTACTATTGTATACATTTATAATTTGACATTAACTTTTTATTTAATTAAAATTAACTTATAAAACTTAGTCTATGTTTTGTCCACTTTTTTGGTAGTAGTTTAGACTTGCTCTGTGGCCCAATACAGAGCCATCTAAACAATCTTTAGGTGTTCTTTGTAAAAACCTGCATTTTGTAATTGAATACTTATGTTTTTTCTCTCTACCGCCCCACCCCATTAATCTGTGTTTGCTTCACAAGTTATTGAGAGAAGTAGTTTGAAGTTTCCTCATATTGATGGTGGATTTGTAAATCTCTTAAAATTTATATAAATTTTACTTTATATGATTAGAGCTTATACTATGAGGTATATAGAATTCCTCAGGATATTTTTGACTTAGAATATATAGTTTGATTAGTGTGTTTGTTTTCATTCTTACTTTGTGCTTTGATTTTTACATGAGTCTTTTGTAGTTAGTCTTTGTGTTTTTAATGGGAGATTTAGGTCTTTTATATTTAGGTGATGTCTGTAAATATTTAAATAGTAGCATGTTAGTTTTGTGTTTTCTGTTTTTCTCTTTGCAGTGGGATTTTAAACAGAAATTCACATGAAGGCTGCTTTGGATTAAATCATTTTTAGAGAAGATAGTTTTAAAAGTTTTATTGACGAATAACTGACATACAATAAACTGTATATATTTAAATTTTATAAATTTTGACATTAGGCATATACCCATGAAACCATTACTGCAATCAACATAATAAATATATCTGTGGTCCTGGCTGGTATAGCTCAGTGAATTGAGTGTCAGCTGTGAACCAAAGGGTCGCCAGTTTGATTCCCAGTCAGGCACATGCCTGGGTTGCAGGCCAGGTCTGCAGTATGGGGCGTGTGAGAGGCAACCACATATTGATATTTGTCTCCCTCTCTTTCTCCTTCTCTTCCCCTCTCTCTAAAAGTGAACAAATAAAATCTTAAAAGAACAAATATATCTATAATACTAAAAGAATTCTAATGATGCTTGTAAAACCCTCTCTTCTATCCTTCCCTGCCCCTCTTTATATATGCAGGTGACCACTGATCTGCTTTCTGCCATAATAGATCAATTAGAATTTTCTGTAATTTTATATGAGTATAATAATATAGTTTATATGCTTTTGTCTGGCTTATTTTGCTTAGCATAGTTTTCAGATCGATCTAGTTATTGCATATATTAATAGTTTATTCCTTTTTGTTGCTGAATAGTATTTGATTTTACTAAGGTATTGCCATTTGCTTGTCCATTCGTCTGTTGATGGGAATTTGAGTTGTTTCTAACTTTTGCCTTTTGTATGTAAAACTGCTCTGGACATTTGTATGGAAGTCAGTGTGTAGACATATGATTTCTGGTAACTCCTAAGAAGTGGATTAATTGGGACATAATATTTAACCTTTTAGGAAGTTTCCAAAGTGTTTTTTTTCAAGTTACATAATTTTGTATTCTCACAAGTGTGTGTGAGACTTTAAGTTTTTCCATATCCTCACCAAAATTTGGTTTGGAAGGGTTTCTAAATTGAATCATTATATGGCTTTTGCAGTATTTTTTACTGTGATTTTAATTTACATTTTCCTAATGCCTAATGATGTTGAGTGTAATTTTGTATGTTTATTTGCCCTCTATATATCTTTTTTTGGTAAACTATTTAAATCTTTTGGCCATTAAAAAATTGGGTTGTTTTCTCATTATTGAGTTTTGCAATTTATATATTCTGAATAAAGTGTTTCATTAGGAAAATGATTTGCAAATATTTTATCCCAGTCTGTGGCTTGACTTTTCATTCACTCAACAGCTCTCGCAAAAAGCAGAGATTTTTGATTCTGATGAAGTTTAATTAACAAAAATTTTAAATAAATTGTACTCACTCCCAGGATGCTTCTCCTAGAGTTTTTGATAAATTATGCTGGGGGTAAGGTCTGTGTTTCAAAAGAGCTCTTTAAAGATATTTTTATACTATATGCTCTCATATTTAAGTGGAACTTAATCAACAAAACAAACAAACAAGCAAAATATAACTGGATACATTGAAATTAAGAACAATCCAACAGTAACCAGAGGGAGGTGGGAGGGGATAATGGGGAAAAGGGGGAAATGATTTTCAGAAACATCTATAAAGGACACAGGGACAAAACCAAGGGGGGTGGAAGCAAAGGAGGGAGGTGGAGATGGCTGGGATTGGGGGAGGGCAGTGGTGGGGGGTAAATGCAGACAACTATACTTGAACAACAATAAAATAATTTTTTAAAATAAAGATTTTTATATGAGGTTGAGTTGAGAAACATTGATATAAACGGTAGGCATCCTTCTGAGTTTGATGGAGTTTTGGATTTCAATACAATAATAATTGTGATGGTACTTATTGGACACTTATTACACACCAGATACTTGAAATGTCTCTGTGTGGAGAGCATGTTTGTAACTTTTAAGAAGAGTCCTTTAACCCTATGAGATAAATACAATGATCACACTTACATAAAGAGACTGAGGTCTTGCTCAAAATTCCATAGCTAATGACTGGGGACCTGAGTCTATGCGTAAAGCCACTCAGTGAGGAATAGTGTGACCTAAATAGCGCGAGCACTACTTCCAGCTCCATCGCTATCAGGGTCATCTCGGAAAAGCCATAGAGCTATGCAGGAAGTCTACTTTTCACTTATTTGTAAAATGAGAGGGGATGGAGGTAATTTTCTAGTTCTTATTAGTTCAAAAATAATACTTTTTTGCATGAAAATGAAGTTATCTTTAAAGAAGCATAACAATGAACTAATAGCTAACAGATAATGCATTTGTACACAATTTAGAGCAATATTCCATGGAAATATAAAAATTTAAGTACAGTTTGTCACCTTTTACACGAATCTTTCATTTTATCAACACTTCATATGTACATTTTCTGCTCTAAATATTGAACTGTTACTGTGATGTCTTTTGTTACAGTGGGGGTATATAGCCGTTGGGCTTATCCACAGGTCAGCTGTTCCTGGAATTTAAAAATATTTACTATTTTTCTCTTTTGCCCTTTCAAACTCTTCCAGAAAAGGGGCCTTCCAAGAATTATTGTTGTTTTAAAAAATCTGAATCTCAAGAGGGGTCTTAATTTGTTTTGTGCTCTACTGCACAAATCACTCTGTTCCGTGGGTCAGAAATGGGATGAAATCATTGTGTGCTTGCACTCACACTTCCTAGCATGGTTGTATTTTCTTATAATCAGCGGAATTGTTTTTAATATCTGACTTGCTCTTTCTGCCAAGCTTCTTACCCATGGAAGATAGCACTTGACAGAATAAGGGTGTTTTACTAACACTTCCCAAATTAACCTCAACAGCACTGTTGAAATCTAGTTCTGACTTTTAAGAGTGGTCATCTCCTTTCCCAGGCCTTAGATGTCAAAGCATTTATTGAGAAAAATATATAGTAGTTTATAGGCTTTGCTCATATAATGTTAAATTTTATAATATAAATCATGTAATAATAAGTACATACAACAGTATAATATGGAGTACATTATAATATGAATATATTATATATGAAAATAATATGATATAGTAGTATAATATATGGAACAGCATACTGCATAGTAGTGTAGGGGAGCACACTGAAATCATACATACAGACACAGATTATGTATATGTGTAAATATATGTATAAATTATATTCATAAATTATAAATTACGTTTAATTCAGTGAATGTCAAATATTAATTGTTCTTTTTTTCTAATAAGCTCATGGCATAAACTGTTCAGGAGTATGTCTTCCTACCACACAATGTTTATTGCTGCTTTCTTTCTCTGTTGCAGATGGCATACTTGCTCTGGGGTTCTAGGTTCTGAAATATGGTGAGATGTATCTGTCTGCAGTAGAACATTATGGGCATCACTTTCAACTTAGTGCCCATGGAAAGGAAGTACAAAGAATAAAGAGTCAAGGTAACATTTAAATTCTTTTATGACCTTTGACCAATTTTCTTAAAAAAAATTAACCCCCAAAACCTCAGTGTGCAAAAGTTAACTCTTATCTCTCAAATGAGGAAAGTCTGATTATTTTGGTGATGAATGGCCTTACCAATCATTCCTTTAAAATACTACTCTACGTTGTTATGGCTTTGGAGCTATATTTGAAATTATCATTAATTTAAAAGATTGTTGGGGTCCCACAAAAGTTTACCTAGATACATCACCAGAGAAGCTTTGTGAAAATAAGTTTCTCCTCCAACCCAGTTGGATAAACCTATATCCATCTGTCCCATTTGCAAAGTTTAGCTAGTGTACTGTTATTTTCAGATTGGTGAGAGGACTTGAAGAGACACAGTTGGCATTGGAAAGGATATCTGATTGAACTTTTAGTGTTAGGGTATTGCTGTTTACTTTATTCTTTTACTGTAAGTAGGGCTTCATTCACATAAATTTTCTGGATGTCTTGTGTTGAGTGTCATGGATAAGCTCAAAAAGGAACCCAGTCCCTATCCCCTGAGAGTTTGGTGTCATATGTGTGCAGTGGCCTTGTGTTTTGAGTTTTTAATATAGTTCTGATTTCAAATAGTCTACACCATATTCCCCATAAAAGATAGAAATAATTTAGAAATAACTGTTTTCCACATCCAAACTACTTTCTCTGCGACTTTTTTGTGCTATTGACAGATTTGAAAATCTTTAGGAAAACTTATTTCATTTTTGTGTGTGTTAAAAAAATGTAACCAAGGGAATTGTTACTATACAGTAAGACATGAAGTTGTCAATATCTTACAAGAGGCACAAGTGACATGCTCTTACTTTTCAGAAATAATGTTATCTTGTGGGATCAGGGAGGGCCTTATGGAAGCAATGGCATTAGAAGTAGGTTAAATAATATGGGAAGTAATACTTGATGATTACCCAGCACCAGTTGTCTAACTAGTGTGTGTGTGTGTGTGTGTGTGTGTGTGTGTGTGTGTATGTGTGTCCATTTCTTTTTCAAATCTCATGAAGTAGTTTCTCTCACTCTCCCTATTAATAAAGTGAGGAAAAGGAATATTAAAAAGATATGTGTGCCCAATTGGGGGTGGAACTGGGACTTGAGCTCAGATATGTTTGGCTCTAAGCTCTGCATTTAAATCACTATATCCCATTTTGTCTAGGCGGAATTAAATGTGCAGAGCTAAGAGGGGGAGAAAGAGTATTTGAAATAGTAGGAGTGTCACGAGCACAGACAGAGACTGAAAAGCACAGGCAAACAGTCAACAGAGGGCAGTAGATTTGGGTGGAGCTAATGGTGTAGGGGAAATGGAAAACAAATTTGTCCCTGCCATTTGGGGCGAGATGGTGAAAAGCCCTGGGTGCCAAGCTGGAGATGCTGACTCTTCTCTTTAGGAATAGAGTCATTAGTGATTAGTGCTAAGGAAGGGTTGGGATAAGCATGTAAGATGCCGGGGAAGGACTGATTAGTTACAAGGTGAAGGCTCCGATCTCAGAAAGCTAATGAGGATCTGAGCAGCAGAGGCGACTGCAGAAGGGCCAGGGTGTGTGATGAGCTCTGAGGTGCACACATGGGGCCACGTGACCTAGCGAGTAGACACAGGCTCCATAGGAGGAGAAGCGATTGAAGACAGAGTATCATGACTTCGGACACCCTGGCTGGGACACCAGGGGGGACATTTCTAGGAGGCATTTGAAACATTTTTCCTGGTGGATCACGAGTCACCTGTCCCGTTCAGAGAAGAATGCTGTATCAAGCATTATGACAGAATGAAGGTGAGGCAGAAATAAAATGAACATTTCTCTCTTTCCGAAAGACACGGTTCTAGGTACTTTACTACAATAATCCTATGAGATAAACAATAGTAACTCCATGTTAAAGGCAATGAAATGGCTTAAAAGAAGTTATGATTTTCCCAAAGCTAAAGTATTCGCTAGTAATAGAGCCAGGATTCAAACTGCTTCACTGAGGGGCCTGAAGTCATTGGTCTTTGAAATTATCACTTATTTTTTCATTTACTCATTATTTATTTGTTTATGTAGCATTTATTTTGCATGAAGCATTGCTCAGTCTCCAAGAAAAATTTACTGTGTGGAAATAATCAACATTTCAATAGGCTACTATTTATGTATATTTCAAAAGAGAAACCCACAAAATAATGCTGTATGTTTTCTATGAATATTAATTATTTGTATAATTAAGATTAAAATTTAAAATGGATATCTCTGCCACAAATGGCTTTCCACACAGACATGATTATTATAAAAAGAATTCGAATTAAGTAAATGAAGACATATATTGAGTTTATAGAGGTTATTTAGAACAACTTTTTGTTAAGTGAGAGACATCTTTTTTTCTCATGACTGCTGGTCTCTTTTGAAGAAAGCTGGGCGAGCTTCTATTAACAGCTACGTGAGACACAACCAGTTAGGCAGACCTCATTTTTCTGAGGAATGTGTCAGGCAGTAGGTAGTAGTCCAAGGGAGACTTCCCAGCAGGAGTTTGTATATAACTTGTTCATTCTTATGGTTGGAATCAATAAAAGCCGACTGTGTTCTTTTGTAAGTGTGCTCAGGCATAAGTTTGAGGGTCTCATCTATGAAGCTTCCCCACTGGGGACCTCCTTTAGCCACCTTCAGCCCTGCTCCTGCCCCGCCGTGAATCAAAGCTGCAGTTGTAATTAGCTTTCCCCAGGTACTCTTATTTCGGCCTTACAGATTTGTACTTATACTGTCTTCTTTACTGTGTTTCCTCTTTGCTTTTTAACCCTCCTACCCCTTCACGTCTCAGCTTGAATTTCACTTTCACCAAAAAGTCATCTGCATCCCACCTCCCGAACTGGACTGGGTGTTTCTTCATGTGCCCCCATAGCCCTCCGGTTCCTGCACCACTTCCTTCCCTCCACTCATCTAAGGCAGTTGTCCAACCTGGCTGGGTATCAGAATCACAGTGAAGCTTTAAAAAATGTGACCATATGGGCCTTGCCTGTTGCATCTGAATCTTGAGGATTTTATCTGGGTATTACTTATTTTTATGTATAGTCTCCACCATGTCATTGCAACTAATGCTTCTTGATGTTGAGTGCATGAAGAAGAGAGGCTCCGGTGGTCTGTAGCTGGTCATTTTACTGGTACCGAAAACCTCGTTTCCAACCTCATCAGTAGTTCTGGCCTTATTGGAGTTTCCAGAATAATGTCACGAAGACAGATTGATTTGATTTGCCTCATTGCAGCATCTTTCAGTGGCCGTTTTAGGTCGGCCCTTCCCGTCACCTCATATCTGATATATCTGATAACAGCAGCAGGATGAGGCATGACCTGGACCAGGAAAGGCATGATATATTCACTTTTGTTCCCTGGAGACTCATTCTTGATTTCATGAGATGTCATGCAGCATCTCTCAGTTGACATTTCAGTAGGTATTCTTGGAAGCAGACGCTCCTAATACCTTGGTGTCTAGGATATGGCTCAAAATCAGGTGTGTCCTCCCAACACTCAGTTTCCATAAATCAAAGAGAAGCAGAAGGGTATAGTGTTTAATAGCTCAAGTTCTGGAGCCTGATTGGGGGTCTGGAGGCAAATTCTGTCGTTTCACTGAGCTGTGTGCTTTTTGGTGCTTCACTGTGGAAAAATAGTACGGCGTCTACTTCTTCAAGTGTTAGCAGGATTAAATGGGTTAATATACATGCAGAATTTAGAAGATTGTCCAGTACATTGTAAATGCTTTAAAAATATTGGCTATTTCACTCTTAAAGGTTAGGCATTCACCAGGGTTACAAAGATGTTACAGAAAAATATGAAGAAGATAAAGAATAAACTAATCGCAGATAATATAAAATCACTAAAGATAATGGAGTACGAAATGTCATTGTATACACTGAAGAAGATTTGAAAAATGCGGTTTGTTAGAGAGGATATCAACAGGAGCAGATTTACCAGCTTCATTGTCCCCTTACTAGGCCTGGGAAGGTCTTAGTAATTTTGCATTGCAATTTTGCGTTCTTCAAAGAGTCTGTGTTAAATTGTGTGAACTTTAAGACTGGTAACACCTGGATCTTCTAAATCAAAATGAAAAACACTATTCAGAAAGACAAACCAAAAGAGGAATTCAGGCCAAATTGGTGAGGTAGATATATAAAATATTGACTACCGACTTGCCTTTTAAGCTGGAGCTCATTATAACTTACCCAAATTCCATTTTATCTGCCTTTTAGGAAGCTCTTCTAACACCTTCCTAAAAGAATCTGTTGGCCCCATGTTTGGACACATTAACTCTTATTTTCCCCTTTAATTGCCTTAATGTTGAAATATGAGGAAGATTTAATTAACTATCCTGTTGGGGGAAGAAAAGTTAATAGCAATTTTAATGAGTGTAACCTTAGCAGGATTTGTAATAATCCTGAAAAGATGGCGAAGTCACTTCTTTCTCCACTTGACTCTCTCACCTTCTGTGAATGGCTGTAAGCACCGATTACGGTGATTAATTACCTACTGGAAGGCTTGTCTCCAGCTCATCTTCTTATCCTAAAACCACTGCAGTCAGAAGACTATAATGAGAATTCTCAATGTACAAAGAATAAAGTGGCATTTTTTTTTACAATATAAAGACAGAATTTGATAAAGAACATCTGCCTAGAGCTTTTACAAAGCACAGTGGAAGGCAAATGAGCTGCATTAGTCTGGCCTTAGAAATTTCATCTAAAATGACAGAGAATGTGGTCGCCATGCCATTTATTAGAGAACCTACAAAGGTCATGCTCCAGAAGTAGGACTAATTCAGCCCTAGAGTAAATGATATTCTAGGACCACTCTAAATGCCATGGATGAGACATTTGTACTACTACAAGGCAGTGAATTTTTTTTTTTTTTTGCCTGGAATCACTCTCTGCACTGCAGTGCAGGAAGAACCTGGTGTCATCATTGAACTGAGTATTTAGAGTTCAGAGTTTGGTGCTCATCAGGAAACTGCAATTTAT